GCAGTTTTTTTCTCCTACATTTTGTTTGGAACTCTGTGGCTCGCTGAAATCTGCCACCGAAGTAGGAGTTTTTTTACTGCATAAGGGTCCGTTTTAAATCGGATCAGACTTCCTATCCTACTGCGTGTAGCATACTGCTCCTTCATGTTGCTATACAGTTGCTTATACGCAGCTACAAATGCCAAGTTTGCGTATATTTTTATGACAGCATTAATTTTGTAATGAAAGGGCCCCTTAGGCCTTAAATATACTATTCATTTATTTATTTAACTCGATTTCTGTACCTTTGTCAAGTGCAACATAACGGTAACGTGATGTGCTTTAATATTTGACCCACGGATAACGTATACCTTTTTGGCATTCACGGCTTTACTGCATTCGGTCAATTTTACGCATATCTAGATACGAATTTCAATTGTTATATTGCGGCGGATTTTTGTACTTCCGACAGATGCGCCCCTTTCGAGTAGGATGTTTTGGCGCGAAAGTAGTGCCTACGAAGGTTTTTACGAAAGTGTTTATTGTTTAAATTATTCTAAATACACTTTAATCCGTTTTTTATGCAGTTGTTAATATTGGTTTGATCTCCGTAAATTTCACGGCCCTGGATCTGCGTCAACCGTAGTTTCCCGTGAGCACCTGGTAACATAGTGTCCATATGGATATTATTAAGACTATTCCTAGTGCTAGAGACGCCTGACCACACGATAACCACAAAATATATGGAGTTTTAGCTTTGCGAACCGAGTTACTGCCCGGGACACTTAGGGCTTGGCACATTCAGTCCTTAAGACAGGATTTCCATGGGTCCGTTTCCTACCCTCTATTCATGAAAAATGAATCCCTTAAGTGAGTCGTTTTCGATGCAAGAGAGCCCAACATGCCCTTCGAGATATTACCGACATTGGTTTGGCTATTATTGAGCGTGTGAGGCCCAAACAGCTGATTGTGCTTAGCTATGTTATGAAGATTGTGCTGTTAACAAGATGTATGCGTAGATGCTCTAGGAAGAAAACAACGGTTTAAGAAGGGGAATCGGAAACGAGATAATAATAGCAGTGGGATAGTGTCTTGTACTTAGGTCCGTTCCCCGAGCGATATATTCGTCATTAACTTTTTGCAACTTAGAACTTGCCTCTGCTACGAGGGAATAGGGCAGGAAACACATTTCTGGGATCCGCTGTGAGGAGGCTATCAATAAAGTACCCACACGTAAAGTGTGGCCACGTAAAGTTGGCCATCGTCACACGGACTTTGCTGTTTTTTGAGTAGCAAGTTACTTGAAGAGGGTTTTTCAAGCGGCCTTAAGTGACAACGTTCTTCGTTTCCACAGGGGTTTAAGAGGCCTTTACCGTGACAGCTCTTGTTTTCCCAAGCTGAGCCCGGCTGCAATTAGATGCGAGTCGA